TTTGCTTTTTGTTTACATCCATCTACATGTACAGCCTGCTTTTGGGTCATCACTTCTGCAAAACATGACAATAGATAATTAAACTTAAAAACTGTGGCTCAGTAAAGTATCAGCGCAATAATGTTTTCTTTTGGCATGTCTTTTTCTGTCTTCTTTCTCATTTTGCTAAACATTAGACTCAATCATTCGATTGCTGCATTTCACTTCAGTGCGGCATACTCATTTTTTACGTACTCTCTGAAGACCTGTAACTGAGAAAACCTTCTTAGTATGAAGGTAAAATTTGGCAGACTTTCATGAATTTATTGCACCCAACTTAGCTGATTCAGAGAGACTCAGGCACTCACTCATGTTTCATGGAATAATAAGCATGTATTTTGAAAAAATTGAATACATACTACTTTATCCACTTGGACTTTATTTTTGTAATATCTGCACAAATCCAGCATTGTATTTTCAAGCCAGAATCCTGCAAACACACACAAAATTGTTTTTTTTGCTAAATACGAATGCTGCAGCTGTTAAATTACCTAACATATTGCATTAGCTACTTTTCCCATTACCCATTTTTACAGGTAAAAATGTCTCAAAAGACAATGAAGAAGTTCAAAAAAGGAATAAATAAACATGTAAAGGCTTAATGCCACTTTTACCACATTTTCAGCTGATATTCATCCACTGATGTCTGCAGACTGAACATTACCTTGGGCCAGATAACCCACTATGATTGGTCTCACTAGCTTAGGCTACATTAGTTTTGCCTCATAACAAGGAAACAAAGCCAGGACTCTCATTCCTTCTTGTCTTCTTTCTCTTCTCACCCTCTGGGTTTGTGTGCATATGAGCATTAAAACAGAAGCTGCACCTATGCTGCACCTATGCAGCTTCTGTTTTAGCCAATGAAAATCCAGGTTAAAGCTCAATCATGCAAAAAAAGAAATCATATATGAACATGGTCCAGAAACCATTATCTCTGGGCCAGAAAACTGTCCTGTGGTCAGACAAATCAAAATCTGAAATTCTTTTTGTAAAACACGAACACTGCATCCTCTGGACTAAAGAGGAAAGGGAGCATCTGTTTTGTTATCAGCGCTCAGTTTAAAAGCCTTCATCTCTGATGGTATGGGGGTACATCAGTGCCTATGGAATTGGCAGCTTGCACATCTGGAAAGCCTAGATCAGTGCAGGCTATGCATTCCCAACCAGATGACATCTTTTTTTGTCGAAGGCCTTGCATATTTAAGCAAAAAAACAAAACAACCCCCCCCCTCACACACACACACACATAGTGCATCTATTACAACAGCATGGCTGCATAGTACAAAAACTGAGCGTTGAACTGACCCGCCTGCAGTTGAGATCTTTAAGCAACTGAGAACATTTAGAGCATCATGAAATGAAAAATATGCCAAAGGAGAGCCAGGACTGCTGAGCAGGGAGAACCTGATACCAGACAAGAATGGAACAACAAGAGGGGATGCTAATGTTAAACGTGGCCCTGTCCCAATTTTATTGAGATGTGTCACTGCTCAGCAAATTCAAAATGACATATGAATGATTTATATTTTTCTTAAAATGCTACATTCTTTCAATTAAAACAATATGTTGTATTTTGAATGAAAAATTGGTGTATGAGAGCTGCAAGTCATTGCATTCTAGTGTATTTATTTATATTTCACACCATGTGCCAAATTTTCTGAAATTGAGCCTGAGCCAACTGGCTATTGAAAGCCAAACTAAGAAATACTTTAACTGCAGTTGTTTATTTATGTTTTACGGCCTTTTTATAGTTTTATTTGAAAGGGTACTGCGAAGAACGACAGGAAAGCAGAGGGGGAGAGAGAGGGGAGAAGCAAAGAGCCATGGGTTGAATTCAAACCCGGGCCGGCCGCTCTCAGCCATGGTCGCCTGCTCATCCCAGCGAGCTAAACCAGTGCCCGCCTTCAGTTGTTTATTTAGTAATGGGTATTTCATGGCAGAGGAACTTGAACCAAAGTTTTCTGTGAAAATCACAGAAATTCAGCAAAAACTAATAACTCAGCACAGTGAAAAACAAAGCATCAGTCAGGGAACAGTATTAGTCAAACTTGCCATTGGTAGTGCCATGGTCCAGTCTTGTCACAGGAACTCGTTTGTCTCTGTAATGGCAATGCTGTCTCTGCACCCAGTGAACCTGGAAAGCACACAACGAAAAGAATCAGAGCTCACCTGTAAACTGGAACTATTAGTTTGTACTCTTCTCACTGATAAATGAAGGTAACTCTGAGTATTTTCACGTCTGTGTTCTCCACTTTTCTTATACAGGCATTTCAATTTATTTCACTCTTAGTGGGTGTATTGCGGGGGAATCTGAAGCAGTAAATGTCAAGTTTGAAGTGGTTTGAATATTTGAGCTAGTTCAACTTCTTTTTTGGCAAATTTCCTGCCTCTGGGAAACACTGCAGTGAAACACACAAATAACGTACCTGCAAACACCTCAATGTGTATCTACATGTCGCCAACTGTTTGTTCACAGGAAATCATTGGAAGTCCAGACATTTGGAATAAAATGATACAGAAGAAGATGCTGTGACCTGATTTAAACTCCATGAATGGAAGCAACCCATCACATATTAGGCTGTAAGGCATATTTTAAATGGGCACTTTACTACTTCTTTACAATGATTTGGAAATATGAAGAAAGAAAAAAATCACTCCACCTTAACAAATCACCTTTGGCTCATCCCAAAGACGCTCATGCACTACAGCTCTAATAATCGTCTGTCTCAATTTCGCTTTTGCAATTTAACTTTTTTTCTTGTTCTAGTTTTACGAGGATAAAAGCAAGACAGTGAGAGGCACCGAACAAATAAAATATTTTGTCCTATTCTGCTTCACACTACTTTGAAATAGAGGGGGGAAATCCATCCACGGGGAGAGCTGGGCATCTTTATGGAGGAGAGTAAAAGGTTTCCTCTTCATTAGTTCAAAGAGTACTCGCTTACTCTCTCCTTTGCCGTTCCATTGTCCTGGGTTAAAAGCAACAAAAACACCCCCGCCTTACCTACACCTCTGTCCTCCACAACACGCATGTGCACGCATTCACGCGCACGCACGATTTCTTTCATAGGCCGCTGCTCGCAGCTTTGATCTGATAAGAGGCTGGTCCTTGTGAAGGTGGGTGAAGGAAATCAAACAGCAGATCACAGACACGCATACGCGCACGCACATATCACTGTCAGGCCACTATTGTCCTCTTACACTTAAATCAGAGTGGAAGAGGTTGAAAATAAATACTACTGAGAGGCGGCGGCAGTCTTTTATGTTCCTAAAAGCCTGCTTGGTTTATTCCCTCTTCACCATCTTCAATTATACTCAATTAACAAAAGCTAGGAGCTGGTCTAACCTTCCCAAAGAAGACAGCTGTTAATGCTAAGAACTCGTCATACGTGATGTGAAACAGAGGAGAACTCAGGCAGAGAGAAGATGCGATGTGCACAAATCTGCAAATGTAATCAAATGGGTGTTTATTTTAGGTGCAGCGTATTGATTTATGCTAATTTAAGATGATTTAAAGCATAATAAGCTAAGTGTAACAAACACTTGGATTTGTTAGCACATTTAGGCAATTCCTATTTAGCAAGAGAAACATTGTTTCTAATTTATGTGTGAGCTATACTATTGCTGTTTGTTTGTTATGAATACAAAAACATGTACCAAATTCAGAGTGCAGCTCCAAACTAGCATTTTACTTAGGATATACTGTGTAGCACAACAGTACACTTGGTACATATGTATTCCTCTGGATAATCAGAATAACAGAACTGATAGTTCACCTTTCATGCGCATTCATTCAGGACATTCACATAAATGTCATCATGCTAATGCAAAACAGACACGAGCAGTTTCCCAATACAGCATGAGCCAGCCACTGGGGTCCACTGAGACTTTATCGTTGGCATGCAATGGACAGCATCAGTGAGCAATGGACAGCATCAGTGAGCACAAGCTTGCAGCTGCCTTTTTATTTGCACGTTGCAAAGCACTTCTAAAAAAACATAGTTATCTCTGCAAAGGAGGTTATGTTTCTGGTAACATTTGCATGCGTGTCGTCATTTTGCCTGTGTAGTTTTTAACAGGTTTTGAGTGAATTCTGCTAAAACGTTGTAGCGGTTTAGAGTGGGGTCGTGTTAACGATCCATTCAAAGTTTGCTTACGTCAACTTAACGATTTATTGGGTGAAAATTGACACAAATCCTTAGAAACTATCATTCTTAGTGTGGTACATATTGTCAACACATAGAAAGTACTGTATAAAGATTTAAAATATTATGTCACATTTGACCTCTGATTAACAAACTGATCTGAAGGTCAAAGTAACAGCGCTATTTAAAACTATGTATCTTATTGCCAGTATTTGTATAGGGAATGAACTATGACATACGGGGAATCTAAATTTCACCTCTAAGCTCTACTTCAAGGTCAAACTTTCAGAAAATGTATTTTATCTTTAAAAATGGTACGTGTGGTTTAAAAATATCACATTAGAGTTTGCATCCAAATATCATGTCACATTTGACCTCTGACCTCAACTTTACATTTGACTTTTGTCTTATTTCAAACTAACACCAAAATGTGTTATTTTGATTGCACTACAAACTTCTTAAAGTACATTCAAAAAGAACAATGTAAACTAAATTAATATGTACAGAATACAATACTATTATTATTAAAAGTAAATACTGTAGAGTGAGCTGCCATGGTGGAGGTTTGCACTCTCTTTTATTATATTTCTGTTTTAACTTATATTCCATTATATACAATATGATTGTTGCATTTTGAACTGCCAGATCCTAAGGGCTTTCGAAATACACTGGTTAAAGAAAGTGTTAACAGGAATATTTTCAGATGCATCTCAAACGTCAGGTCAAATTAAACTGGGAGTAGTATTGTAGGCTATTGAAGATATAACCATTTTCAGCTGGCTGAGCAGTTAAACACCAGAGCGGTGTGTGGCAATAGTTCCCAGAAACTTTTAGAGAAGTATTTCCAAAGTCACTCTATTTACATTGGTTTCCAAAAGTGAAACCAATGACAACGGGATGGATGAAAAATTTCCGTGGAGGCGCATAAACTCGCTGGCAAATAGTGAGTGTGTGCACGCATGTGTGAGGGTGTGTGCGTGTATGTCCCAATAGCCTTGTTAAACCCCTTCAGCCTCTCCTCTCGGGGAGCAGCCAGGACATGGTGATCAATACACATGATAGGGAGCTAATCGCTCTCTGTCAAACCAAGCCCTGCCATCTACTAATGGCACACGCTCACTTGGGAATGCGTGTGTGTGGGTGTGTGGATGTGTGTGTGTGTGTGTGTGTGTGTGTGTGTGCGCGTGTGTGTGTGTGTGCAGGCCTTAATGGCAGATTGAGACTCTTCAGGGAGTGTTGCTCAAGGTTAGGCTCAGGGGACGAGGGGCAATTGACCATACTGTCTGTGACACTGACCCCTCTACTGTCAGCACATTCATCATCCAACTGTGACACATGGGCAGCACACACACAAACACACACACACACACACACACACACACAAAACAAAACAAAATGCACACAATTTCCAAAAGCACATGCCACATATACCTGCACTGAAAAATGACATCGTAAGTTTGTGCAACATCAATTATCAAAGTTGCTGACACTTTGCCCTTCACAATAAAAGCATCACTAAATAGAAAAAGAGATATACAAAAGGAACAAGGTATGAGATCAATGGAAAATAAAAATAAATAAAAAACTGAAAAACAAGTTTGGAAAAATCATTTTTAAACAATGAGTGGGGTAAAAGAGACACAGAGAGAGAGCAGTGGAGTACTTGCTTGATTGAACAGCTGAGATAGAACTGACAGAGGCACAATGTGAATGTGTGGAAGAGGAGGGGAAGAAAGACAGCGAGATGGAAGGAGTAAAACTGTGCATGAATGTGTGTTTAAAGACATCCCATGAAGAGTGTAAGTGTGCGTGT